TGCTCTTGGAACAATACAGTGATAAAAAAATCCAGAGGCCTTTTAATTTAACTGAGTCTGGGTTTATGGAAATTGATATTGAGTGGCGTCTGTTATTCTCCTATTCTTTCTCAACGAAACGTACGCTGGAAAAGCCACTCTTTTTTCACCCTTACGTCTCACTCAAAAATCCATTCCAAAAAAAATCACAGAAAGCTGATTCCCACTCCTGATGTAGGGGGAGCGGGGATCCCTCTGCCTCTTCATGACTCCACTGAGGTTCTGCAAATATATGGGGGCGTTTATTTACACCTCTTCATGGACTGAGGCTTAAGTCCACATTTAAACAGCATAATCTGTGGTTCTTAATAGCTTTGGCCACTCATTTAGACTTCTAAATATAGCTGTTGAGTCTCAGTCTTAGATTCTCCTAATTGAAAGGTTCAACAAATACCTTCTGCGGGTTAATGTGGATACCTCCTCCTCTCTTATACTAACTCTGCAACCATGGGAACTGTGGTTGCTGATGGCACTAAATATCCTTTGCCACATTTGCAGAACAGTTAGCCGCCTCTTTCCACAGTTGCATGGACCTTGAAAAAAATTGTTCAGAGAAAGTTGGTTTGATTTGAGAACTCTTGCCCTGTGCTGGTGTTTGTATTGCAAAGTGATGTAAGTGCAGCCTTCATGTATGGTGATAGCCCTGCTCTTTGGGATAAGCACTGGAGGGGGCAGCTTGTGTTCTATCTTGGATCAGGAGTTACTTCTGAAGCAAATCTCCTGATCATCCCCATACACTGTGGGGTGGCTCATGTCTCAGATAGCTCCAAGCACACAAAGTGGACTTCTCTCAGATGAAAGTGTGTTTGGGGAGCACACCTAGTGTGCTTTGGTGCTAGCAGGCAGTCCGTCCCTGCAATCAGGCTAGAGCAATCTGAAGCAAAACCCCAGAAATGCTGAATACATGGAAGCGGGCTCCTCAGAACCAGCCGTTCCTTGTACAAATCCACTTGCTCAAGTCGATGCAGCCCAAGTTGTCTATAATCTGCGATAGCTTGGGCTCTTAACAGCTTCACCTACTTAGACTTCTATATACAGCTGGTGAGCCTTAGCTGATCTCGTGGCTGAACAGCTCAACCACACACTCCTGTTGGGTCTAGCTTCTGGATGCATCGCCCACTTCTGCTCACTGCAACCCATGCATTATGAAGGGCTCTTGAGAAGCTTCCAGGAGGTGTAGATGTCTGTACATGGCAAACTGTTGTGGCAGGAGAGAGAAAAAATGAAGGAAATACATCGTCATTTCAGTAGCAAAGAGAGACGTGGGCATCCTCTTTGGAAAACACAGCTTTCTGAGGAGGAAGCCACTGTGGAGGAAGGATGGCAAGAATAAGCCACAGGTGCTGCAGAGGGCTGTTTTCCACAGCCCTGCCCTTCAGGTCCACAGCCTGAAAGCATCCGTCTACACTTCAACTGCACGGTGCTGGCTCTTAGGAAACTGGCTTCAAAGGCATGTGTCAATGTTAGAGCCCCTCAGAAGCTGGCGAGTCCCAGTGACTGCTGGACACTTCAGCACCCCGTGGGACTTGGGCTGAGGAGCTTCTCTGCAGGGGACAGTCAGTCACAAGGGTTCTGCAAGGGGCCATACATGCCCATTAAATAAAAATAGGTGATGACATATTTTAATCCAAGCATTTGCTTTAATATTGTATTCTTGTCCCGGGATCAGACTTCTCCTTTCTCAAAGCTGATGCGAACAGTTTAGCTACTTCCAAACTTCTGCCACGGTTCTGTAACTCTCTAATTGCCCCCAACCCTTCTCTGGGCCAGTGCTCATTATAATTGTGAAGTCACAGCAAAAAAACAGCAGAGCGTTATCTTTTGTGAGCAGTGGTATTTTAACTCCTTCGATGGCTATTAAGAAAGACAGTGTTTCTTCCAGGTTTTGGCCCACGGAGATATGACAGTGCTTCCCATACCAGCTTTCATTTCATTGTGTATCTACTTTTGTTTTATGTGTACAAGAAAAATCAGTACTTTTCAAAATGCAGCATGCCTCTTAGGAAAAAACAACAGCTAAATAAAGTACGAAGTGGCACTATTTGTTGACCCAGTTCTGGGGCACTGTTGGTAATTGATGCAAGGAATTGAAGGTGTTTTGAATGTGCTGGGTAGTGCTTGGGGCCAAACTGCTTAAACTTAGGTGTCCAAATGCTCCCCAACTTTCCCTGTCAGAGGATGCCCAGGCCTCTCTCAGACCTGTTCTGTCCGTTAACTGACGGGGCCACAGCGATGGCACAGACAAGACTGCAAAGCTTTTTCGTGACAAATGCACTTACCATAACCCTCTCTGCAGGCTGGCTAAGATGAAGACATTTCAGGCTTGGTTTGCAAGTTATTCCTCCTATTTATCCTGTGAGCGTCATGGCCGTGACAAACAAATTCTCCTACTGTATGCTTACAACATGCCTTATGTTTTTATGGAAACATTACAGAAGAGTTGTTATCCAAGTTGATTCCAGGCAAAGCTTTGTGTAGTACAGGCCCAATAACTAGAATATAGGCTGAACCAGCTATTACTGGCTTTAGTTTTGGCATTAATCACCTCTTCCTAACTGGAAGCTCTAACAGGTACCAAACTTGGTGAGACAAGGGGGAGCTGAACAAAGCCAAATTCTGAAACTCCCCATACGATTTTCATCAGTTCTTACCCCTGCAACTGTTGTACACTGGCGACGTAAGACACGTACTTCTGTCTAATCCCATTTATTCAAGGTTTTCAAATAGCTAGTCAAGTAATTATTACTGAGATATAGCAACTTCTTAAGTGTATGTCATCTTTCTCGTGTTGGTCCTATACCACGTAACCATCAGTTCCTCACTACAAAATCGATCTTGACAACACTCCTAATAAGTGGACTCATTTCAGGTCACGTACTACTTAGCAGGGTTTATCTGACACTTAATTCATCAGACTTTCACATGAAGTTAAGTAAGCCAGGGTAGAATTTCTGTCATCTGATGGGATTTAAGTACACAAAACCCATGTAATGCAGAACAGTAAAGCTGATGTAAATCCAAGCTCCACCAAAGTCATGGGCTGCTCTGCCTTTGGTTTCTAGGTCATGTCCATTCCTAATTAAATAACAAAAAAAACTTTTTGCGCAGCGAGGTGATGAAAATTGGTCAGTACCTGTAAGGTAAAGTGGTCCATGAGTTTCAATAGCATTTCTTCGCCCATTTCTCTTTCTCAATAGGAAACATTCAGGGTAGGGGAAGAGTGGGCTTGGATCATATGTTTGAGGTAGGTTGTGAAAGTGCAGAAATGAAGTGAAGACAATGGGGTGTTTATTAACAAATTTGCATTCCCTAAGTTTAGGGATGTGATTTAAAAATAAATAGAGTTCCTGTGTAATACGTGACAAGACGTACTCGGAAGCATCCTTTAGGGACACTCTTAGTCATCTCCCTCCACAGACTGGGGAGGGTAAAGAGATGAGCATCCTAGTTTAGAGGCATACAGGGAAATCCATCTGATGTCACTTTAAATGTCTAAAAGTCACAGGTGCACATCCAAGCTAGTCACAAGGCTCTCCTTATACTCACTTTGATACCTGTTTTAGCATGTGGTGACTACTGCTCTGGACGTGTCCTTTTCTCCCCACTGACTAAAAGCTGGGAGCTTAGACCACTAACTAAAATGCAGATAACCTGTTACTAGACATGTGAAGTTTGGGTGCCGATTCCCCCCTGGAGTCGAGGCCAGAGGAGTGGGGCACAGCAGGTAGCCCTGTCTCTCCGCAGCCGCACGTAGCCTTATGACCAGCTCTTGGTAAACAAACCTGCTCATGACTGTGCCATTTCTGAAGGACCTCCTGGCCCTGCACAACACTGCTGTTTGTCCAGATACTGTTGCAGGAACTTGTATTTGTTATGAATTTCTCTTGGAAATGTAGTCCAAGGGTGGACTACCATGCCATGAATAACGGTGATCTATATGCCGTGCTGCTACCCTGTATTTCTTGATCAACCAGGTGTTCATACATGCTTCCTAACTTCTTTTAGTGTTTCTGGATTCCGTTCAATGTCATTGCAACTCTCCTGTCCTATGCCTAGGGCAACACTTGGCTCCCTTTATTTTATATACTCTCTACACGTTTCACTCTAATTCCCTAGTTGTATTTATAATAGATAGTGGCCTCTCTCAAATATAAACATGTGAGGGTTGACCATTTCTCTTATTTTTGATATTTCCAGATCAAGTCCAGGGTAAAATCCTATATTTTAGGCCTCAAGAAGCATCCATGGACAATATTTGGAATTTGCATGAGTGGCATCCTTTCCACCATATCTGTAACAATGGTGATCTCCACTATCATGTACTGGAAAAGTGTGAAAAGATCCAAGCTCCACCCACAGGGCAAAATCCGCAAAATTATACGGGGACGTCCAAGACGAACAGTGTGCTAAGCTGCAAAGTGAACTGGCCATTCATTTGTCCTTAATATGCCATATGTAGCTTTTGTTATTGTTTATTTCTTTTATTTCTAAAAGCAAAGCTCTTTAGCTCACTCATCTCCCCTACCTCAAAGAGTTTTGTTATGTCTGTAAAAGAGTACTTGAAAACAGAATGCAGCACATACCTGCTACCTACTCATTTGTACCCTGTGATTTTATAAAGTGAAGTTTTCTCATAATCTTTTCAATGCCATGCTCAGTCATAGTCCTATAAACTGCATCACTGTATCACCTGGAACTGGTTTTGAAAGATCATTCTCTACTCATAAACTTCTGTTTGGGTTCAACACTATTATTCCTAGGAAATTAACTCCGAAATGTAGTACAATACAGCTGCAGATCCTGGCGCGAATTATTTTCTTGCTCAATTCTTGCAAGTTAAACAAACACTATGGTGACACGCAGGAATCCGTCCTAACTTGGCGGTAATAATCCTGTAAGCTTTCGTGTTCAACAGTCATCCATCTCACAATACTGTAAGGCTTGGCCAGTCTTCTCTCCACCTAAATTCTCCAAACCTGGACTGGCTCTTTGACTCTTTTTTTTAGAGACAACTCCCATTAGTCAGCCCTCTTTGTTACCTATTGTGGACAAATGAAATTTCTGGGTCACTGTCTGTCCCATAGAGTAAGTCACATGTTTTCTTTGTACTCTTTTACAGACTCTTCACAAAGGGCCTATGGCCGCCTTTTTGATGCAAACTAAAGATAACCCTATGAAAGCCTTAGGAGTGCTAGCTGGTGTCATGGGCATAATGGTGCTGATAACTATCATGATCTCTACTGCCATGTTCTGGCGCAACAAGCGGTCCAACAAAATCATGCCGGTAAGAAGGATTATAAAAAAGAGACAGACCCCGCAGTCCCGGACCATCAGGATGGAGTGGCTGAAGTTCAAGAGGCCTAGCAGTGCTGCAGAGAAGTTTGTCGTTGAGGATGATGCCAAGAGCTTACACAACGAGAACAGCAACAACAACATCCAGGTTGCCCCTGTGCCGCCCACCGCCCCCTTGCCC